ATGAGGGCAATGAATGTACAAATGCGCTTTACACAATTGATGTATGTATAGAATGTGATGGGAGTTGTATGAGCCCCTAATAAAATGATTTAAAAAAAAAGAGTTGCAGTCTCTGAAACGCACAGGAGCAGTTTTGCCATGTTCTGTAGGGTCACTATGAGTTGCAATCGACTTGATGGAAGTGGGATAGGATTTCTAAGACTGTAAATCTTTATGAAAGCAGTCTGTCTCTTGGAGACTCCCATGGAGCAGCTGGTGGGTCTGAATCAATAATCTTTTGGTTAGCCCACTATGTTTAACCCACTACATCACCAGGGAGCTAGTCCAAGGCAAAGGGGATTTCTTGAATCTTCTACCTCTACCATTTTGAGTGAGGGTTGGGGCTTAGGGAAAGAGAAGCAGCAGGGCCTGGTTTCTGGGGTCAGGGTACAGGAAGATCCTACTCTTTGGATGTAGTCAGCCTTTGCAAGATCTGAACCCTATTGGGACCAAAGGACACACTTTGCTGATAGGAATAGGCCTAGATTCATAGTGCTGCTGTTTTAGAAACACCATAATTGGGTGGCTTTTAAAAATCAGAAGTATATTCTCTGACAGTTCAGGAGACTGCTGTCATTGTTAGGTGCCCTCAACTTGGATTCAACCCCTGCTGTTGTGGTTGTTGGGGGCCATTGAGTCTGTTCCAAGCCATTGCGACCCTATGCACAACAGAACAAAACACTGCCTGGTCCTGCACCACCCTCACAATTGTTCTAATGTTTGAGCCCCTTGTTGCAACCACTCAGTCAATCCTTCTTGCTGAAGGCCTTCTTTTGCTGACCTTCAACTTTACCAAGCATGATGTCCTTCCAGGGTCTGGTCTCTCCTGACATGTCCCACGTTCCTGAGACAAAGTCTTGCCACCCTAGCCTCAAAGTCGCAATCTGGCTGGACTCCTTCCATGATAGATTTTATTGTGCTTTTGGCAATCCATGGTACTTTCAATATTCTTCACAAGCACCATAACTCAAACTCATCAATTCTTCTTTAGTCTTCCTTTTTCAGTGTTCAACATTCACATACACATGAGACCATGGAAAATACAATGCTTGGGTCAGATGCACCTTAGTTCTACAAATAACATCCTCGCTTTTCAAAACTTCAGGGAGGTCTTGTAAAGCAGATTTACCCAAAGCAACACATTGTTGGATCTCTTGACTGATGTTTCCATGAACATTGATGGTGGATCCTAGTAAGACAAAATTCTTGACAACGTCAACCTTTTCTCCACTTATCATGATGTTACCTATTGGTCCAGTTGTGAGGATTTGGGTCCTCTTTACATTGAGTTGTAATCCATCTTGAAGGCTGCAAACCTTGATCTTCATCAGCAAGTACTTCAAGTCTTCCTCACTGTCATCTGGCAAGATTGTGTCATCTGCATATCGCAGCCTTCCAATCCTGATGCTGCATTCTTCTTCGTATAAGCAAGCTTGTCTGATGATTTGCTCAGCATATAGATTGAGTACATATGTTGAAAGGATACAACCCTGACACACACCTTTGCTGATTTTAAACCATGCAGCATCCCCTTGTTCTGTTTGCACAACTGCCTCTTGATCTAGGCACAGGTTCCCCATGGCACAATGAAGCCTTCTGTAATTCCCCTTCTTCTCAAGGCTATCCGTATTTTGTTAGGATCCACGCAGTTGAGTGCCTTGTGTAAACATCTTTCTGGTATTCTCTGCTTTGAGCCAAGATCTATCTGACATCAGCAATGTCTGATTTCTACATCCTTTTCTGAATCCATCTCGAACCAACCTCTGGCAATTCTCTTTCAATATACCACTGCAATTGCTGTTGGATGATTTTCAGCAACACATTACTTGCATGTGATATTAATGGCATTGTTCTGTAGGTTGACATACATTATGTCACCTTTCTTTGGAATCGATGCAAATATGGATCTCTTTAAGTCAGTTGGCCAACTAGCTACCTTCCAAATTTCCTAGCATACATGGGTAAGTGCCTCCAGTGCTTTTATCAACTCATTGAAACATTCCAATGGGTATTCCATAAATTCCTGGAGTCTTGTTTTGGTCTAATACTTTCAGTACAGTTTGAACTTCTGCCTTCAGTATTATTGGTTCTAGTTCACATGCTACCTCCTGGCATGATGGAATGTTGACTACTGTATATACTTGTGTATAAGCCTAATTTTTCAGCACATTTTTAATGCAGTTTTTGTGGTAAAACTAGGTGCCTTGGCTGATATTCGGGTCGGCTTACACTCAAGTATATATGGTAGTTCTTTTGGGTACACTGGCTCTGTGTATTCTTTCCACCTTCTTTTGATGCTTCCTGCATCATTCAATAGTTTGCCCATTGAATCCTTTTTATTGAAACTTGAGGCTTGATTTTTTTCCCTTGAATTCTTTGAGTGTAAGATTTCCTGAGTGTCTTCTCCCTTCTTTGGTTTTCTAACTCTAGGTCTGTGCCCATTTCATTATAATATTTTACTTTGTCTCCTTGAGATGCCCTTTCAAAGTTCCTGATCAGGGCTGCGACTTCATCATTTCTTCCCTTTGACTTAGGCACAAGCTCCAGAGTCTCTTCTGACATCCGCTTTGATTTTTTTTCTTGTTTTCTTATTGACCTTTTGCTTCATGAACCATGTTCTCGATGTTCTTTCACAGTTCAGCAGCTGCAATGGGTTTGGTTTAATGATTGCTGCTGTTGGGGCAAAGGGCAACTCGGTGTTTGGGAAAGACAAGATCACAGGACCTGCAGCTGCCAGCTTCCAACCTTGCAGCCAAGCTCCTTCAAAGGGGGTGTGGAGGGGAGGGCTGCTTTCCATTTATGCGGAGGGCGGCCATCACGGTTTGCTTAGTGCCAGATCCACAGCTCAGTGCAGTCATTCCCAGAGAAGAGCCACAAAAACACGTGCTGTAAGACCCTGCTCCACGGGACGACATTACGATTCATCTTCTAGAAGTCTGCGCCTTTGCTCTTCATTGGTTTCTGGGACATCTGGGGAGATTGTGGAGATAACTTTGCAGGTGAGGAGCCGTCAAAAAAAAAAAAAAAAGGTTATCATGATTTGCCACAGCCCTCCACTGGGGTAAGAAAAATCAAAGTACTTTTATTGAGTTGTGTGCAGAATCACGGGCAGAGATGCCGGGGGCAAAGAAATAGCTTCAATTTAAAAATAAAAATGTATACTGTTATCTACTGTTTAAAGGACAATTTGTTACATATTATAAGAAAGTTCTTGGAGGTTTATATGGCCCATCTGATAAGTGAATGGAAAGGGATTTGGGTACTTTCTTGAACAGGTAGATGACTAGAGCTAGAACCGAACCTTCCAGAAAGGTTGTCTGTCCATGTAGCATAGCACTTACTGGGTGGAGACACTGTGCACCTGTTACCTTATTTAATTAATCTGGTTTAATCCAATGATTGGCAGCGTTTTCCCTGAAGGGCCAAGAAAGGCACACACACTTAAAGGCAGAGAAGAACTATATCAATGAATAAAGACTAAATGTATTGGCAATTTAAATAATTTTCTTAAATCGACAGTAAATATTTTATGTCTAATGCTACTCCCATTTATTTAGAGAGAATTTGATAAATTTAGAGAGAATTTGATAATTTATGTCTTGGTTTGGGTGTGTGTGCACTCCCTTTTGAATTTATGCTTACGTACAGGAACCTGTGAGCTGGTTTGTGTGCCTACATCTTCTGATTTTATGTTAATACACTCACATACGTATTTAGCAGCAACAACGGAAACTCACTGCTGTCAAGTCTCTTCTAAATCATAGTAACCCTGGTACCCAGGAGACCTGCCCCATAGAATTTCTGTGATTGCACATTTTTATGGACATAGACTACCACATCTTTCTTCTATTGAGAAGCTGGGGAACTCAAAACACTAGCCTGTTGGCTAATCAGCCAACTACTTTAGCCACTGTATCCCCAACGTTCCTACCTATCGTGTAGATTTATGAAGTGGGATTTGGGTCATACCTTGGAATTGTAGCATCATGATAGGTCCTGTTGTATGTTACTTTCCCCTTTTGCTGGACATTGGGGTTCTTGGGCTCAGTCCTTTCTGATGTCTGTATGGCTTTATCAAATTCTCTCTAAATTTCTTTTCTTTTCATTGGCTAACTTGACGCCTCTAGAACAACTAGATTAAACGTCCTGAAGCTCAACGGCAAGGACTTTGCTCACTGCCTAAGACTGCCAGCTTGCAGTGGGGACATCAGATTTCCCGGAGAATCTCTCTCCATATCGCTGCATTCAGACTTTGACAGCTATCTGAGTCGATCAGGGACACATCTGAGTATTGAGAAATGAAAACCAGCACCATGTGTTGAAAAGAAAATTCCCATTTCATTCCGTTTCCCCACTGAATGCCCTAGGTACCTCTGTTGGAAATCAATTGGCCATAAATAAACCATCTATGTCTCAACCATTCTATTCCACTGATCTATTTGTCTGTGATGCCCGAGATTTGGGCTCAGCTCCTAGCCAATGAACCTCAAGCACAGCCACCATCAGCCTTCAGAGGCTTATGCGCTACTCTCACGTTGAACAGGTTTCAACGGAACTTCCAGAATAAGACATTCTAGCGGGGAAAAGATCTGGTGATGTGCTTCTATGTGATTTTAGGAGCGCAGGATTGGAGGAACTCCATCTTGGCAAAAGCAGAACTCTTGCTTTGTCATTCCTCCTTGCTGATCAGTTAAACATTAGTTAAACCTTAGTCAAGACACAAGCATGCATCGGATATAATTTATGAAATCTAGTTAGTAATATTAAACCTGGGTCAGTTCAATATGTACCACAGGTAACAAATATACGACTGGAAGGCAAAAAGCTAATTAAGAGAAATAACGGTGTGGCGGGGGGCCGGGGGTGGGGTGGGAAGATGAGACACACAGACATGCTCTGTACTTCCCGAATCATTTTCTGAAACTTCAAACTTCTGGCTCTAGGAAACCGTCTATTTGTAACGGCAGAGTTATTCTGCTCTGGACTGGAGCAGGGCCGCTCACACTGCCTTTTCCTCAGTGGCCAGTTTCAATGCAATGTTGTCTCTGAACACTTCCTCCATGTCTCCATTTGAAGTATTTCCTCCTCCTCCAAACGACACAGCTTCTAAGGAATCACTGTGTGTGTGTGTGTGTGTGTGTGTGTGTGTGTGTGTGTGTGTGCAGTTGAAATGCTAAGAGCCAGTTGTTTGGGTAATCACCATATGATGGCATGAGTTAGACGTATAAAATGCTATTCTTATACGTCCTAGTTATTTCTATGGCATCTCACGTGATACAAATAGTTCACATAGTTGGCTCCTAAACAATATGGTGGAGGTTCCAACCTACCGACCTCAGAAGAAAGGCCTGGCAATATACTTTCAATAATCCAGCCATTGAAACCCCTATGGAGCACAACTGCACTCAAACACATGGTCTCAACATGACTTGAAATTAGGAATCATTCATCTCAATTTCCCCCCAAACAGATTGATTTGTTCTTCCGGCAGTCCACAAATTCACAAAACCAAACTCACTGACAGGCGGTCAGTTCTGACTCATAGTGACCCTGCAGGACAGTGTAGAACTGCCCCCTGTGAGTTCTGAGACTGGAACTTTTGACGGCAATAGAATGCCCATCTTGCTCTCACAAAGCAGCTGGTAGTGTCGAACTGCTGGCCTTCCCACCAAGTCCATTGGCAGTCCATGCTATGTGTTCAATATTCAATATTGATACATCAATCAAATGCATCAATTCTTCTCTGGCCTTCCTTATCCATCACCCAGATGCATGTGAGGTAGTGAAGTCCCATGTGTTGGGTCAGGAACACCTTAGTCCTCAAAATGATATCTTTAACCATGTAAAAATCCCCCACATTAAAATAGCTCCTTCAAAACAATGCGCGCTTCACTGTACCCTACAAATAACTTAGTCGTTTCTACTAGATATCATTGTTAATTGTAGTCAGATTTTATTTCGCTTACTAATTATGGGTGCCGACAGGAGAGGGGTCATGTCTTTTACATGTTATTGGATACTCAAACCCCTAACACTGAGAGTATCTCAAAATAAGAACTCAAAAGAAATATTGAATAAATAAATGGATAGATGAATGGATGGAAGAAGGATCAATGGATAGATGGATGGACACTCAGTTTTCCAACTGGTTCACAGAAATCTCATTCATTTTTAATGAAGCAGGCTAGGAGGTATTCTGGTGGTCACCATTACAAACAATATCCCACAAATAATATGCCTTAAGGGTAAACAAAAAACCACACAAATGCAATTGTTACTAATAGAATCAAGAGAGTCACTGAAAACAACTTAATTTTAAAAGATTCTGTAGGTATTTTAAAAGTATGCTTGTTAATCTAAAAATGAAACCAATGACTAGAATTAGCATAAGTATAAATAAGGAAGGTAATAGAAAATTTGGGGAAAGACCCCTTGTGCTTTCTACCAGTCTTGTTCTTCCATGAAGTTGTTGAGGACTTTTGGGAAGGTGATGAGAGTAAAGGGGATCTGAAGATCTGGCCTTTAGCATGTAACTCGCTCCTCTTGTTCCTAAGTCTCCTTTGGCTCTTCTCATTCTTCCTTGTTTCTTGGTCTTCCTCTTAGGCTGAAGTGTCCTTCATGATGCTCACACTGCAAGGAGCCCAGATGCTGCAGATGCTGGAGAATGCCTTGAGGAAGAGCCTTCCTGAATCCTTAAAGGTGAGAATGGGAAATCCTAAAGGGAGCAAGAAATAGCAATTTCTATAAAAGGGAAGGAAAAGAGACTACCATTTACTGAATAGCTCTTCTGTGCCAGGTATTAGCCATGCTTCTCACGTATGTCTATTATCTCTCTACAAGATAAGAAGACCTTGTGGTACAGCAGTTGTTGCTTTCTGATTTTTTGAACGGGGCTATCATGAGGGTGTTAGGTAGTATCTCATTGTTTTAATTTGCATTTCCTTTATGGCTAATGATTGGAAACATTTTCTCATTTATTTATTGGTAATTTGGATTTCCGCCCTTGGGAAACTTCTAGGCAGGTCTTTTGCCCACGTCCTGGGAGGGTTCTTTGTTTTTTTCTTGTTGTAGAGTAGCAGAGTACTGTATATTTTAGTAATAAGGCCTTTGTCTGATGTGTCATTGCTGAAGAGATTTTCCCAGTGTGTGGGCTTTCTTATTACTGTCTTGGCAAAATCAGTATATCCCTCTTGTCGATTTGTGCCTCCTCTGTGCTTGTGTCCTTCCCTATTTCCAATATCCTGTGTATTCCCAGCACCAGAGTTCTTAAGTTTGTCCCAATTCCCTCATTGATGGCCCTAATAGTTTGGGGTTTTATCCGAGGTCTGTGATCCATTTTTTCAAGCACTATTTGTTGAAAAGGGTGTGTGATTCCCATTTGATACTTTTGGGGCCCTTATCAAAGATCAGTTGTCTGTATGCTAATGTTTTTATTTCTGGATTTTCTGTTCTTTTCCATTGGCCTGAGTATCTGTCATTATACCAATAGCATGCTGTTTTGACCATTGGAGTTGTATAATGAGTGTTAAAGTCATGTAAAGCAAGCCCTTCTACTTTGATCTTCTTCTTGAGGAGTTCTCTGCTGATTCTGGGCTTCTTCCCACTCCATATGAAGTTAGTAGTTAGTTTTTCTTAAGCCTTGAAAAAAGATGTTGGTATGTGTATCAGGATAGCATTAAATGTATATAGTGCCCTGGTAGGATTGACATCTTTACTATGTTGAGTCTTCTGATCCATGAGCATGGGATATTCTTCCATTTGTGGAGGTCACTTTAGGTTTCTTGTAATAGTGTTCTGTAGTTTTCCTCATACAAATCTTTTGATTTTTTTGTTAGGTATATCGCTAGATATTTAAATGTGTGCTTTGCTATTGTGAACGGTACTACCTTTTTAATCTCCTCTTCCATGATCTTGTCCAATGTATATAGCAATCCTATATACTTCTGTTTGTGGATCTTGTATCCTGCCACTCTGTCATATTCCTCTGTCACTTCCAGCACTCCTCTTGTAGAGCTTTGGGGGTTTTCAATATATAAAATCATATCATCTGACATTAATGATAGTTTCACCTCTTCTTTCCCCAGATGAATTCCTTTAATCTCTTTCCTTTGCCTATGTTATTAGCTAGGACTTCCAGTGCGATGCTAAATAAAAGAGGAGATAAAGGGCATCCTTGTCTGGTCCCTCTTTTCAGTGGGAATGTTTTTGTCTTTTCTCCATGTACTACTACATTGGCTGTTGGTTTTTTATAAATGGCTTGTATTATATTGAGGGAACTTCCTATTGCCTCCCACAGTGCTTCACATAGCCTAAGGCAATCCCACCGGCCCTCCCCACACTCCACACTGCTGGGGGAATCTCTGCCCAACTTCCAGGTCGCTCTTGCCCACTAACACAATTCCACCCAACATCCGCAGCTCTCTACACCAAAGCAGGCATCCCCACCTGCCCTCTGAGACACTTCCGCTGTAGCAGGCACCCCTACATACCCTCCAAGGCACTCTGAGCCACTGCTGGTCACACTGGCCACACTGCCATGGCTTCCTGTGAGATCATCTAGCTCAGCTCCATTCTCCTGGGCCTACAACCACCCGACCAGTATCCCCTCAGAGGGCCATCCAACTTGTCTTCCAAATAACAGAATACTGGTTGGCTAGGGAAAGAGTGAAACCACAGGGGGATAAAGTGGTATCCCAAACCCCCAGTGCTGTTAGCTGCAGGCAGTCCGAAGAAGCATTCCTACGAGTCTCCCAAAGGGAGAGCCCAGTGCTCTTTGACTCTCTGAAAAATGGGCTCTGAGCTCCTCTAAAACAACATGCAGACAGCCACCAGCCCCAACAACCTCAACGAAAAACAGGAGAAACAAAAGGCAATGTTGGAAGAAGTCCTATGCACACCTAATGATGTGCATAGAAGAAGCAGTCATTGATCTACCACAGAGAGGAATGCCCAACTGTGCGGGAAAGAGAGAGAGAGAGAGAAAAAAAAAAAGTAAAGAAATAGATGAGCCCCGGTCGCCTAACCAAGGGGCTGGACGGGGTTAAACCCTGGCCAAAGGCAGCATCAAGCTGTGGCTGTGCTGAAGTAAAGCCCTTTGGCTGGCCAAATTACCCCGGCACCTGCCGCAACTGTGGTGGGGCTAAAACTAAGCCCCAGCCAGCCTCCTCAGTGGTAAGCCAAAAGCCCACTGCACTTCATAACCTATTGATCTGCATCTACTTAGCTTTATGATGCTCCTCCTGTTACCTGTAAGAATGGAGTTTCCCTCTCAGTGCCTCTCCTGTGCTGATTTCTGCGGAATTCCTCTAGTGTATGTTACTGAGTCACCCTCTTGCAGGAACTTTGGACACTTTTATTCATGTAAAATGTTGATGCTTTTAAAAGTTGTTATTTCAAGTGTATACATATTTCTTTTATTAAAATCATTTTATTGGGGGCTCATACAATTCTTATCTCACTAGATGTGTAATGTAATTCTTAAAAATTTGGGGTGGGGGGTGGGGAGCTTCTCTCATTTGGGGCAAAACAAGTGCTATATAATGATTATTTTACCCAGATGCCTTTTTTGACTCCTTTCTAGCATACATTTTCATGAATTCTTAGAGATAATTAGTGTTCTAATCAAATATGAGGCACTTTGCCATCCCACCATAACGTGCCAACCCTCCTACTTTTTTGGGATGCTGCAGGTTTATGGAACCGTCTTCCATATGAACCGGGGAAATCCTTTCAAGCTAAAGGCCCTAGTGGACAAGTGGCCAGATTTTAATACAGTGATAATCCACCCTGAGGAGCAGGTAAGCTACCAGATGTGGAATGAGTGTGCTTTTGTGTTTCTACGTGCTGAATGCCTATGATGTGCCTGGCAATATGGTAGATCCTGGGACTACAGGAATTGTCATTGTATGGAGATCAAGTCCCTGTCCTGAAGTCTAGAATGAAGGAAGAGGCAGATAAACCAATACATAGCAGTGCGGTGTGAGATATGGAAGAACAGAAGATGTAAAAGATATAAAACTACCCAGGAGAAAGCTGATTAAAATTATATGTGGTTGAAGTTACACAAGAGCTGTTAGGACATTTCTTCTTCTTTTAGTTTTTAACTTTTTGGGGGTTGGGAATTAGATTAAGGTTTATAGAGCAGATCATCAGTTTTATACCCCAAAATTCATGGACATTTTATTTAATTCATTGATTGCAATCCACTCAATTTATCATCCCTACTTTTCTTTCTCCCTGTGTTTCTTGTTTCCATCTCTCCTTTTCTAACCCAACCCTCTAAACTTAGACCTTGGGTAAATAGGCCCATCTCATATGATTGATGAGTTCTTCTTCCTCTTCTTCTCCTCCTCCTCCTCCTTTATTTTTTACCACAAGTGTGGGCTCAGTCCTAAACCGGAAGATTGATTAAGGGGTCCAACGTGTCTCTTTCCAACCAACAAGATTAGTCTCCTTTATAACTTTGATTAGGGACATCTCTTGATAGAAGCTTCATCTGAACTTGATTTTGGAGTTAAACATATTTTTGTCAGACTGAACAGGAAAATGAAGCACTTTAATCAGAAGAAATAGGAAGAACAAAGATCAGAAGTAAAACCACCTGGTGAGTTGGATGAAAATAAAGACCAAAATTACATCACTAGAATTTGCATATATTTTGGTTAAACACTTTTTAAACTAGTGAGATGAAATTGGCTATAGTTAAGAGACAGATTTTTCAAACCATTTTAAAATATAAAGTTAAAATATGAATGTAGAAATAAGCTCCCCTCTGCAGCTCAATTTTCAGCCACACAATAGGCAAGATTCTAAGGGAAACAATAATACTAGGACAGTTGTCACATTAGAATAAGCAACGAATTGAGATCAAAAGCGCAACATTTATCCAAGAATAAAGTTAAGAAGGGTTAGGAAAAAGGAGGAGTGGAAACAGGAGACAAAGGGTGGAAGTGGGGTAAGTGATGTTTTATTGTGAGAATTGCAATCAATCAGATGGAAAAAAATGTGTTTGAATTGTTGCATGGAGAATTGATCTGCTCTATAAACCTTCACTCAATTCACAATAAAAAGTTTCAAAATAGTAATACGATGCCTCTGATACAGATGAAACTATTCTTAAATTACTGACTAACGTCTCTGCTATCGGGTCCGTTCTGACTCAGAGTGAGCCTCAGAGCAAAGTGCGACCGCCCCTGCGGCTTTCCAAGACTGGAACTCTTTTTGTTGCTGGTGTTTGGCTGTAACTCTTGATGGGAGTGAGAATCCCTGTCTTTCTCTTCGCCGAGCAGCTGGTGGTTTCCAACTGCTAACCTTGTAGTTAGCAGCCCAACTCGTAATGACCATGCCACCAGGGGTCCGCAGAATGAAATATCGATCTTTTATTTTAACTGTGCTTTAGAGAAAAATGTATCGGTATCATAGCTGACTTGTGAATGTGTACATATATATACATATATATATATATTTGCAATATTATTTAACTATATTACAGTAATTGTGGTAATATTTTCTCTGTCTTCTCTATCCCAATATTTCCATTTCTAATATAATACTTTTTTTTAAAACTGGATAAACAAGTCGGAGGAGAAAACAACGGGACCAATGGTTCCAGGGGGATATGACAGAGGGGGAGGCAGGGGAAAGAAAGTAGGTGTTAACAAACCCAGGGAAAGGAAACAAGAAGTGATCTAAAATCAAAGGTGAGGAGGGAGTAAGAGGCCATGGTAGGGCTTGATCAAGGGTAATGTAACCGAGAAGAATTACTGAAATCTAAATGAAGGCTGAGCATGATAGTGGGACAAGAGGAAAGGGAAAGGAAATAGAAGAAAGAACTAGGAGGCAAAGGGCATTTATAGAGGTCTAAATACAGCC